AAAAATTAAGTTATTTTATAAAAAAATTAATCTAACCAAATTTGTACAATTACTATTTTTATACAAGTGTAACATTATACAATTTTGTGTAACAGTAATTATTTCAACAACTATTGCATAGAATTTTATAGATTTTTTTTTATTTAAAAGCTTTAGATTTAGACAATTTTTTATATAATTTTGGACTTGATACCTTGCTTATTTAGTTAAATATAAATTTTCAAAAAGTGTCCACAATAATATGCTACCCCCCTGTATTTTATTTTATATATAGGTAATAATCACCTATGATGAATATTAGTTATTAACTTTTATCAATTATTCATTCAAATTAAAAAAAAAACTAGAAGCATAAAATAAAAGTTAAATTTTAAATAATCTTGACTGTATTGTCAAGAAAACTGTATCCAATAATTGGATTTGAAAAACATATAACCTATTATTTGAATTTTTTTTTGATATTTGATATTTTTTTGTTTGAATTATTAAATAATTCAACATTTTTTATATTTAGTGGTCAAGATTTATTGAAAATACTCATAAATAGATAATGGCAATCAATCCTACAATCAAGTACAAGTTAGACAACTACCTTTCTTTTATGTATATTCCACCGATTTTACTCCAAAAAGACCCTATTTATACTCAAATTATTACACCACATTATAAATAATTTGTACATATTATAATACAAATGCCAAATATAATTTTTGATAATCTCAATAAGTATATATTGTTATGTATGATTCTGTATTATTATCATTTTGCAGGATTTAATTACATTATCGTGATTTGCAAACTAATTTATTTTTGAGTTTCTTAGCTAACATGTATACTCTTCTGATTTTTATTCAATTGCACAATTTTAAAGAGATTTTTTATTCAAATTTTTGATACCGATACAGATTTAATATTTTATAAATCATTTATTTCTATCTTTGTTTTTATGCTAAATTGTTGTGAACAATCCAGTAATCGCACAATCGGATGAAAGTCCAATGATTTTAAAGTGAAACACGATCTGCAAAACTTGGTCAAAAATAAGTAAACTTCTTTAATTCTTGCATTTTATTTCAAATATCGATATTAATTTTAAAATAGAGTGCATTCACATTCAAATTACAGTAATTGTATGCATATTTATAACTTTCAGGTTTTGTCAGAAGTTTCGCAAACGTCATAGGTTTCGTCAATCGTAAATTCGAAGTTACTGACGAAATGGTTTCATCATTCGTCAAGCATCATTGGTCCAATTCTACTATATCTCAAATCGCTCATGTTCTCATTTATCGTTTTGATTTTAGAAAATTTATTATCAGACCAAATATCACCATAAACATTCATTGAGGATAACAAAATCTTTTGAAAAAATTCATTACATTCCATCTCCTTAACATTAATCTCATTTGTTTTTCTGCAATTGATAATATTTCAATTGCTTGATTTAATGTCAACTGATCATTTGACTAATTAATAAAAATATCCTAAGTTAAAAAAAAAAATCAATTATGAATTCATTTCATTGGTTATCATACCTCATCTAATGTTTCATCGAATGTTTCATCGAATGTTTCACCTTGATTCATATCAATATCCATCATATCCTTGTCTTGACAAGTGCAAACTTTCCAAAAGTCAAGTTTTTTTACATTCTTCTATAGTATTTTGATGAACTGATTACCTCGTTTCACTTCTCTCAGTCTGATACTCTTTATATATTGTTTCTTATAAGGTTATTAATAATATTAATATTTTTCTTATGACGCGTTCTGACAAAAAAAAAAGTAATACATACATTCACTTATAAGAATTAGGAAACAAATTTGTAAATTGTTTAAGAGTTATATTACTTTTAAGTTCAATGTTAAGGAGATAAGAAAGTAAAACTGATTCTTCAATTGTCATTTATTTTTAAACTGTAATTTTAGTAGCAGAACAATTAGGCAATTACGTGACCAATGATCATTTCCGAGATTTACATACTTCATAGTTTAGATAATATGAAATGTAATAATTAGGGTAGCTGCGTGACATGGTCACGCTAAAACCAGGAATGTAGGGGTGTTTTGTGGATTTGATCAAAAAGTACTGATAAAAGAAGTACTTTTTGTTTTGAAATTGACATAATGCAAAATTAAAAATTAGTTGTTTTAGAAGTTTTTTGTTTTTGAATAGTGATTTTGTTTGGATGAATAAATAATATGGCAGAGAAAGTTTTACTATGTCTATATAGGGATTGATATATAACAAAGTTTTTATTAAATGATAGATAATTGTAGCAGTTTATGTTGAAATACAGTATTTATTTAAGCATACAATGCTTATTAAAATGCATATATATTCTCTTGTTAGTCTAAGCATGAAGAAAAAGGTTATAAAAAAGTTTTCAAATTTTTACAATTTCAGAATAAAATACAGCAAAAGCTTCAACATAGTTGTCATAAAAATTATATCTTGATCTTTATTCATTAAATCGATTGGTTAAAAGTTTTGTTAGCTGTCAGAAGTTTGTTAACGGTCAAGGTTTGTAGATGTAAATATGATAAAATTTTGTTTTCTATTTGATTTTAATTAATTATAGTATTAGATTAATTAGACTAAATTAGTTTGAAGGAGTTACACATATTATTATAATATATATTACAAAATGCATATTATAGAATTCGGGTGCTTAGTTGTTTGGCTATTCTTTTAATTTTAAAGTTTCTTGTGCGCATTTTTCAAGTCACTTAAGTTCATTTTGTAATAAATATAGAGGTCACATGTTGAATACGGATTCTTTGTAAGGTTGTAAAATTAATAAATCTTTTAATTTTTGTGTCCATAAAAGCATTACATAAATGCTATTATGTGTGTTGCTATTAGTCAAATCAACAATTACTTTTTGTAATATTTGTTCTTGGCATTTGAAATCTGTAAATGCATAAGCTGGAGTTAACAGTAATTGGAAGCATTGAAATTGCTTTTTGATTTTAGATCCATCATGACACCAAATAGTATGTGTGCAACTGCGTTTAATGGGATAGATTGGTATGTAATTTGGTGGAATGTTTTTAAACAGACAGAGCGAACCATTTATAAGCTCGATTATGACATATTTTGGAGGACTCTTAAGTATTAGAGTGTTTTGTCATAATAACGAGAGATCAATAATATCTTTATTGTATATTATTTGGCGAAGAGTTCCTTGGATACATTTGCTAAATTATCATTTATACAAATATTAACAGTTACGATTACCTTTATGTTGATTGATAGTGGCAGGATGCTACAGAGAGCATTGTCTTTGGTGTCAGATGTTGACAAAAAACTTTGCTGAATTTTTCTAATAAGTATCGTTCTATTGTATGAATCTTCTGTGCAAAAATAGATTAGGAGTTGTTTATTTTGTTGTGCATATTCTATTGTCGCATTTAAATTTAAGAGAACATGAAAATTATTTCTTGTTACAAGAAAGACAGCATTTTTCCATTCTTGACTATTAATAGAATTATTACCAAGAATTCTCGATCGTAAAGCCGTTCGTTGGTCTTCTGTAAGGTATCCATTACGCATGTTATTAAGAATTGTAGCATAAAAAGGATCATTTATTTGATGCATTGGTTTGTATAAGTTTATAGTATGTTGAACGTTAAGCTAGAGGTTTCTTCCTATTGTATTCATGACTGTGCGAGTATTAATTGATGAAATATTCATGTTTAGTTTTTGTTTTTTAGTTTTTGGAGTAGAATTATCATTAGTTGATTGAATATTTAGTGATGATTTAATATTATATATTTTGTCAGGCATATAGAGCGCAGGGTCTAGAACCGGTGGTAGTTGCATAAAATCCCCTACGAAGAGTAGAATTATTCCAGAGAATGGTATGTGACTGTCTGTCACTTTTATTTTTTTTGTAAAGGCATGAAGTCGGGCGAGAAGGTTTTTACCAATCATAGAAACCTCATCTATTATGATGTATTTTATATTTGCCCAGAGCATTTTGAGATTTTGTAATTGTTCTTCAGTTAATATACTATTATTTTTATTATTATCTCCAAAACCTAATCCGCATGCAGAGTGAATGGTAATTCCTTTAATATTTGTAGCAGCTATTCTTATCAGGGCTAAGACAAGAAGGGTATTATGTTGTAAGGTGTCCTCAAAATAAGAGCATATGGCTTTGATTACTCTAGATTTACCAGTTCCACCTGCACCAGATAAATAGAGAAGTAATTGTGACGGCTTTTGGGGGTTTATTGGTTGGTTTCTTTGACAATGATTGCATACAAGGTAATAGGCTTTTTTTTGTTTATCATTTAGGTTAGATGCATATTTATTCAAGGGGTCTATATCATTTTCTAATAAATTTGTTTGAATAAACTTATTAGAGATGTCATAACTTGAATTAATATAAGTTCTAGGTAATGTATTCGTCATTATATTAAAATCATTATTTATTTGTAAGATTGTTTTTTGGGATGTAATTATAGATTGCCAGATATTCAAAAGTTCATTATCAAGGTTTTCACTTGCGCATATACCTTTTTTATTAATTTTTTCGTCCATTAATTCCATGTTGTTAATCATACTTATTTCATTTTGTTCTGATTGAGTTATACTATTATTTCTAAGAAATCTACCTTGTAATCAAAGAATATTCATCATAGAATCAATAGAATTAATGTCCTTTAATTCAGATCTGATAATCATTTCAGGATCAAAATTTTCATTATTTGTATTATCTGTTTTTAGGTTATCATAATCATCCAATAATATTAATTCTTCTTTGGCATCATAACCAGGTACCGAACATTCAATGCGACAAGCTTTTGCAAATACTGAATTATATTTAGCAATTTGTCTTAATCAGTGATCAAGTGCCGATTCTTCTAAGCATCGATATAATAATTCGATGTTTGAAATAATAGAACGGAGTTGAGCTGGTAAGGATGGGTTATTTAAAAAAGCTTGGCATGCATCTGCCCAGAAATCATAATTTTCAATAAGATCATAAACCGATTTCCATGGCTTGAACAATGTGAGAATACTTAATTTATAATATTTCTCATTTTTAGTATCATCTTTTTTTGGTATTGTTTTACTGTATAGTGTAACAATTCTTTCTGTTCTACGTCTTCGTTGTATTTGAATGTGAGTTTTACATTGTGGATGTACTTTAGTCAATATAGAATTTGATTCACTTCTATGGAAGAAAAAACGATCGACATGAGTATTTTTATTTCTTAAGTGTTGATCTGATAATATGGAAAGTTCATATAAATTTATTGGTATTTTATATATTGTAGATGCATAATCATAGAGACAAATTCCATCTAGAGATAGTCCTTGAAATTGATAATCAACACGAAGGTTTACTACAGTTAATTTGCCTTGAAAGGAGGATATCATAAAGGATTCAGATGGTGAATATAATTCTTTGGCTTCATCTAAATCATCATCAGAATTTTCAGCATTTATATCAATATTTTGATTATGTTTTTTTAATTCATTTGTAAAATAATTTACAAAAGTTGGTAAATATATAGAGACAAACTTGTTTGGAGTATAATGGTCTGGAATACCTAAAAGATATGCTGAAACTTGTGGACTTGTAAGTTTTACTTGACCTGTGATTTTATTAAGGCACTTTGTTATAAGTTTTCGAGACTTATTTATAAGATTGATAGATGCATTATCAGAGCTTTGTGTTAAAAAGTTTCTAAAGTTGTAGCACACATTAAGAAAGAGCTGTGTGTATTGGCATCAGACTTTGTAATATAATCAGTAATGTAATAGACATAAGCTAAAGCAAGTTTTTGTGTTAAAATAAATTTAATATCATTATTTCCTCTGCATGCAGTGGTTATATACGGATTATGGTTATTGATAAAGGCATTGGTGCACTGAACAGCAATAATGCCTTGTTCAGGAAAAATTATTCCAGGAGGGTTTACTAGTTCTCTTGAAAAGTCAAAATGACAGTGTTTTTTTAAACCACGATTATATTTTTTGCATGTTTTATTGCAATGATGAAAGAGAGTATGTTTTGCGATTGCAAGTAAATCTAGGTGAAAATTCTCTTCAAAGTTAGATAATTTTGGATCTGGAATAAGGTTAAAAGAAGGATGCATTCTTTTTTCTAGTAAAGTTTTTGGAGTCATGTATTCAGTTTTAAGCATTTCATTGGTTATTATTTCATTTCTTGTAAGATAACTTATATCTTTTCGAACGATATTACTAATATATTGTAGTAGGTGTTGGGAAAAGTTACTATCATTTTTAAGTTTTTGACGTAAAGTAATCAGGTCAAGTGCATTATTAAGCCAAATTATCATATGACAATGTGGAGTGCCTCTATCCTGATATTCAACAACACCATAGTAATTTTTTACTATTCCAAATACACCACCATTTTTTTTACTATAGCCAATTATAGTATCTTTAATTGTTTGAATAATAATATCAAAATATTTTGCAACTGCCGAAGGGTCAAGAGATGCAAGTCTTGCTCTCTCAGTGGCTTTCAGAAAATTATCCGGTAAAAGTTTATCAAAATTAATTTCGTTTCCAGTATACATTATTATGATAGGGCTGTAAAGGTCAGCAGGGTTAATTGTCATAAATATTAAAGGTATACCATCTCGTGTGATAGTTGCATGTATTTCATTACGCATTTTAGAATATGATTGGCAAGATGCCATTAATTTGGACCCAGCAGAATTAATATTTTTAAGTAATTCAAGAATTGCTGGATTAGTTATAGGCTTTTTATTGCGCTTTTGTTCTATAGCTAGTTTTATATCATTGGGTTTAAGTGTATTTATTAAATTGGCTGATCTCTCAAAGTTGCTATATTTTGTTAAACTATATGATTCTGATGATACTTCATGTCTCTGCAAAATATTAAAAGTGATGAACGGAAATGATCTATGTTGATGAAATTTAGGATCACGATGGCGCATTAGATGATTTATATATTCTTTAAACGAGACTTGTTGTGAATGACCTTTATGACCTCCAACACTATACAGATAAAGGACAGGAAAAGCAGCCGAAAAGAGTGTTGGATCTTCATATTCATTTAGAGGTGTTTGACTATGAGGTATGCAGATTATTTTTGTTTGAAATATTTCGGTTATAGTATTAGTTTTATATTGCAAATTTGACTTTTCAACAAGTTTTTGTAAAGAATTTAAGGTGAGTTCTTCTTCAGAAACTGGAACATCATTTACATGCAATACACCTGATGACCTAAAATTACATGTGCTGCTGATAGTATTATTTTTAATAAAACTATTATTAGTTTATGCTTATTATTCATGTTTATGTCATCATTTTCACTCTTATCAGTTTTACTATATTGTTCTAACGAGTCATGTGTATATCCAGTAAAATGTTCAATATTTTGAGCATTAAAGTCTATAACAGTAGTCATTAAGGCTAAAGATTCTGGAATTTCTCCTTCTGGTAAGCTATTTAAAATGTTTTTATCAAGTTTGAAATGATCTTTGAATAATTTATTATGTTCAAATAACCACTAAAGTGCTGTAGCAACTTTACTCCTTCGCACTTAAAGAATCTTTTTTAGATATTGTTTAGCAGGAGTTCTCTTTCTAACAAATACTACTTTTAAATAGTCACAAAGTCTAAACATTGGTAAGGGTAATACTTTAGCTAAGGAGCTTGGATTTTGGGATAAGGTAATAATATGTCCTTTAAGTTTATGATGGGTATGCTTTTTATTTGTTATTTGAATAAGATTTATGCACAAATATCCTGATGATATCATAAGTTGTTCCAGAATAGTTAAATCTTGAAGACATGGTGGCGTTGTTCCAATCCACATGTTATTTGCCAAAGATAACGGAGGCGTAATATTTTTTTGTAAATATCTGTAACAGATATTACAAATTCATAAAACAAGTGAATTATTTGTAAGGTTATCATTATTTGTATTTTGATAATTTAATGGGTAAATAAATCCGGCTCGATCAAGTAAAATATTTGAATTGATATTGTCAATATATGGATCATTGTAATAAAAGTTAATTTCGAAAGATGAAGCAATAAGTTCATTTGGAGCTTTAAGTAGATTTAAGTCAATATTTTCTATAGGAATTTCCTTATAATGTTTATAATTGTTAAGTTTTAAACATACGGCACATGGTAATTCTTGTAGTTCATTGAAGCTAACTGTATCACGAAATTCTTTCAAGAATTCTTTTGATAATTCTGGATCAATTATTTGTAACCAATCGGCATGCTTTTCAATGTTTTTTTCAAAGCCTTTATTTATTTCTAATATGTGCCAAGATAAACCTGCATGTTTTGCTCGATGATCTTTGGTAATACAGACTGTAGTTTTTTTTTGTTTTCAAAGATTTTTTAGATATTCACGATTTTTTCTCTTCCTAGTCTCTCCTCAAGTTTCTATGAAGTTCATATTATAGTTTATAAACAGGTATGTTTTTCATACTTCAATATATTTTTTGCAAAATGATTATGTTTTTATATTTTATTAGTCATATAAGAATTTATCGTGATGTAAGTCAGAATATTCATTAAAGAAATTCATCTAATAAGCTTATTCGCATTTAATATATGATATTGTTATGAACTTTTTTTATACATTTAGTGGTTTATCATATATTGTTTCTTATTATTTTGTGTAATGTTTTAAAAGATTAAATGAATTAACCTAAATTCGTTGATTTATTATTGATGTATATCACAAGACTTTAGTCAATGATTATTTTATACTAGTGCATTCACACGAATGATATTATAAAATCGAAAAGTAATAAACTTGTTAATGAAATGATAGTTTATTATTGCGAGATTAGATGGCTTTATTGTAGATCATATGCAAGTTATTTATACAGTAGGTTTGTTGAATAAAAGGTATTGTGAAGTTAATCCATGATCGCATATGATTATCTTGATTGTGTTTTCTCAAAATGTCGAACTGGTAGCAAGGAATATAATCAATATCACAGTCTCGAATCTTCTGTCTAAGAATAATTGCGCAGGAGAATCATGTTGAATTTAGTATGATAAGGAGTATTCAAATGCTTATAAGAAAAATTCAAGTCATAATATAATAGCATGAGGATGTTTTCTTGAAATTAATGTGCGATATTTTTTTTGGATTAGTATGGAAATATTTTCTTGAAGTTAATGTGGGATATTTTCCTGAAACAGTTTAGCTGTTTTAAATCATGTAACGTGTGAACTATCTAATTTCAGAAGGTAAGTCAAATCAGGTGCAGTTTAAATAAATGCTATTATTATAGCTTGGTCAGATGACTTTATTGTACAAAGATGAAAAACATATGAGAATCCTGTCTGCTACCGAAACATGCTTGATAACCAAGATGTAATCAAACCTAACATTAACCTATATCAACAATTAAACTCTCCTAAACCTCAGTTTAGCTGCATTTACGCCTCCCCGAGATTTATAACTCTTAATTTGGACCAAATATTATAAAATACAATAATGTGCTTACAAAAAGAAGATACATAGCTACAAAGAGGATCGGTTTCATGGTAAAGGTCATTACTGTAGGGGTCCTTGCGCTAATACAATCCCTTTTTTAATCTTCCCACAGACAACCATATGATTTCTCGTTACTATCAATTACTCTTTCGTCAATATTCATAATAAATCATAACTACGATCAATCATATATGATCACAACAATAAACCGGAATCTACTTGCATCTAACTAGATTTTTAAAACAACCCAAAAAGGGCTAACAGTACAAACATGTGATTCATAAAGTCATCTGATCTCGCAATAACGATCACTTTGTCGCTTCATTGACAAGCTTCACAATTTGGTTATTTATTTTATATGATACTTGTTCAAAAGCTTAGACAATTTATGCTTTAATTTGCATTTAGTATTATATTCAAAAAACATCAAATCCTATTTATTATTTATTCATATCTTAAATATTCATATACTAAATTTATATTTTGGATATTAAAATATAAGATGACGAAAAATAGTAAGCTAAATTTATGAAATTATTCTTCATTTACATTTTTAAACCTTTCGGTTCAACTTCTAGTATTATGCATTACAGATTGTGTCATCTTCTCTTTGCCTTTATTCATATTCTTATGGCTAAGCACTATTTTTTCGTTTTTATTAATGGTACTATCGCATTCACTGTTGTCATTTACATATTCTCTATCATATTCAATTGTTTGCTCACAATAACTGTAATTTGGATCAATATTCGTAATACAATCATCTTTATTTTTTAGATCTTGTACTCTTGTATGCTTCGAATAATGAGAATTATCAGTTAAATCAATGAAATGTTTACCCGGTTCAACTAAAGACATATCGGATGATTTTTTATTTGCATTTTAATGTGCGGTTAAGAGTTTTGATCGAACAGATCTATATACTTCAGGTGTAGTTTGAGAATTATTCAAACTAGAAATTTTTTTTTAACCGCAGAATTAATGTCAACTTGAGAAACGTCAACAGCATAAACATATAAATCTTCTTCTATAACTTTCATATGTCCTACTACAAAAACCACCGATTCATCAGAACAGATAGAATTCATTAAATATTTAAATCGGTTATTATGGTATGGAAAAGCGATCTTAATAAGAAAACTACAATGTTGACCAGTGTAATCATTTACTAGTACTTCGAATATGGCATTCTCATCATTAATTTCTTTTGGCATATTTTAAGTGATACCAATTAATGAAGTTTTCAACAGACACCTGTTTGAGCCAGGATCCCTTCTAATCGTAAGATGTGTTGATGAAGTAACAGTTATCTAGATTTAACAAATATAAGTAATAGCAATGATTAATATCAATGCACTTTAGTGAATATACTTCATATTTACTTTTAATCTTAATTTGTTATTGTAAGTGCCTGATACAACTTTTCCACAAATACTATAATATTCGTTTTTCACAAAAACTGACTGAGCATTAGGGTCTCTTTCATTTTCGTCTAAGAGAACAAAGAGAACAATTTCCATTTCACAATCTTCGCTTTCAACAGGGTAAGCACCTATTGCCCATATAACAGTTAATTTCATTTCATTCTTGTCTATTAGACAAACTTGATTTATTTTTATGATTGTGTCTACACAGCATGGCATCGTAAATTGTAAATTGGTGATAACATAAAAAGAGCTTATTTACTCATTTTATTTGTTTTAGAATAAAACTTAGCATCATATGAAATTATTAACTCAAGTCATATTCAGGTTTTTTTAATTTATACAACTTTGATTATCAATACAACATATTTCCCAAGAACTTTCGTACGAAATCATGTTATATTTCATGTGAAAGAAACAATATCATATGAATTTCATACCAGATTTGATATATACTGATATTTTCAGTTTTTTTATACATAGTATATCGGTTACATATAACAGAGGGTTTGATTTACTGAATCAGAATTATATACATATAATCAATAAGAAGGTTAAGTTTCAGAATTAAACCTGAAATACTAACCCCTCATACATACTTTTTGGATAGTAATTATTCTGATTCTATGCGATACACATAATGCACGACTCTTCATACAATATTAATATGATCTAGTAATAACAAAAAATCAAATACTGTATTATTACGGTACAAAATTCGACAGAAATGGTAATGTCATGTCATGAGAAAAAATCGGATCTTGCATTAGCGTATAGTACAGTCCAATCAGCTTTAACATTTTGCCTTCAGTTTATGTGTCATTAACCACACACCTCGTTTATAACACAAGCAGCAGATGGCCTTTGATTTTACAGGTCATGTCGGATGGTAAATGACCAGATCTGAGGTCATTCGAGGTCATTTGAAGGTCAATTACCATCCCATAGATCCAATACCGATTTGTTTGTAACAATTGCACTATTCACCTGATTCGTAAAATCGAAGGCCGTCCTGGTCGTGTCCCTCATTTACACTACGTTCCTGGTACTAAAACCAGCTCATCACTTGATAATCATATGTGATTATAATCCTAAGCAAGAAAAACCTGCACCTAACGGGACAATGTAACAGTCATCACAAAAACAGCCCATAAAAGGCTAAAGCGATAAACGTGTGAGAAAACTGATCTCCAAAATTAACGATAAAAATCGTGATTGGTACAATCGTATAATCCAATCAAATTTAAGATTTTGCCTTCAGTTTATTTGCCATTAATCCATACACTTCGTACTTCGTACTACGTTCCTGGTATAGAAGTAAGTTCGTCATTAGTATAGTAATAAATCAACAAAATAATGTTATGTTACTCACTTCACAGAAACATCTAATACGTATATTTTGTATTTTAAATTCATTATTGCCTTGATTTATTCTTTAAACCTTACTATTTGATTGGCTAAATAACATGTGACAATACATGAACATCTAATTGGTGTCGATCTTTTTTGTTTTGATGAAATCTATTGTAATAATTACATATCGATATAATCAAAACAATTGTTTTTTTTCGTTGTTTTTTTTTACGCTTTTATTTTTTCACACTTTTGCTTTATGTAATAAACTTTTATTATAATATATTATTGTAGTTGGTTTTTATTTTATCTTAAGAAACGCTACGTCGGCTCGTCGGTAAATAAAAGGTAATGTACCATAGATGTCTAGGTTGTTTTCACTGTTATCAGTGAAAATTACATCTGGTTTATGGTACAGTAACTGAATAGTTGCT